TGTGAATGACTCACCTGTTTTGTGTTCTTCTAAATCTTCTGGCAATGAATCCTCCTTCTCGGTGGGCCAGGAAACCAGCCCGCTCTGAATAGAGGAGGTATACTTTATCAGAGAGATTCTCATGCTGTCTAGAAATCGGTTTTCTAGTCGTTGAGATCTTTTGCGTTTACCCGTCCGTGGCAAAGGTTATGAACTGGTATGTTACGCAGTAAAACCCATGAGATCTTAGTGATATAGAAACTCTCCCTCATAAATAGCAACGATTACCTCAAAAAGTTCTGATGTGGTTCCAAATGGATCAGTCGGTTTTTCGATTGTCTCTTTCTCGCCAACTTCTTCTTTTCGTTCAGATGGCAGGAGGAGCTCTGAAGTAGTGATTTCTTCTTCTTTTGGAACCAATTTTTACGTCATTTTTCAATAATACTGCGGCTTCGATAATAAGTATGGTGGATACAGTACTACCTGCAGGGAATAGAGGTTCTCCATGTAAAGCTTCTTCATCAAGTGGCACGGCTACCACATCTTGAGGTTCTGGTACATGCAATGGGAGTGGACGAGCTCTGTAACCAGTACAATGCTGTTACTGGTCTAACTGGTTCCACAGAACTACTTGTCAGCGTAAGCAATGCAATCAATGTTACCTGTACAGTGGTGGGAAAGGATTGCTGGGGTTCCCTTGTGGCGGGTAGAAAGGAGAGATTCCCAATTTTGATGAAGTACCTTCTTTTCCAAGAACGGGAATTTTACCAACGAACGGAATGTTATCATAAGATAAATCCACATAGGAATATGGCGCTGAAAACAGTGATTCTTCAGAGCTTTTAAAAAGCTATACTTTTGGGATTTCTGATTAATTTGTACGATTGTAGCGCAGTGGTTAGCGGCGCCGTCCATCACACATGTGGCTCTGAAATCAACTACCCGGTACACTATACCCACCTCAAGGTTTTCGAGAACAGTTAACTGTGCTTTTTACTTCTCCGACAGCGATAATAGCTCGGAACATCTGCTAAATAATTGTCTGAGTTTAGCTTCACAGTGGATGATTAGAGCACCTGGCCAAACATGCTTGCAATTACGGGGCAAGAACTGTGCACGGCGCATCCCAGGTTCACTGTGAATTTGCTGATACTGCGGTGTAGTTGCTGTATATAGTAACAGCTCTCTTTACTGCAGATTCAAGTTCTGCTCAAGACCAACCTAACTTTTTAACCTGATTGGACCTAGGTGATACAGCTTTGGTCTGAAATAGATTGAACAGCATTTCGTCAGCTCTGAAGAGTATTCCATAGGGAACAGAATGTTCAGAGATCATTTCCACGGAGGGTGATGGTACTTTTTACTCCGAGACGTTACCACACCCCAATGACTACCATCATTTTTCGAAGTGATTCATCACTTGGCTGCATTCCGTTGGTTTTCTTTTCGGAACACTCGGTTACTCAGCTGACAGACTGGTTGCTGACCTTTGGTAGACTATCAATCATTGTAGTCGCCCCCGTTCTTGAGCACCCGGAGGATGCCCAATTTTTCCCTGTCTATCTGTCCTATCTCTAAGGCATGTGATAGGATGGTATGCCAGGATTTCACTTGGTAGTCCGCTAGAAATCTGTGAGCTGTCGTTGTCTGTCTGTCAATTGTCTTAGGAAGGATTATAAAACACTTACTGAAGACACCCAGTCCAGGACCATAGGCTGTGATGGCGTTTATATACTCCCTCGTGAGGTATTCATCTTTTCCTACAAGGAATGGTGAAAGAGCTGGAGCAGCCTGGGTACACCTTAAGAGGTGCAATAGGATAAACCACATCTGAAAAGATTTATCTCGAAAAACTTGAAAGTACTCAAGTCGAAGGAACTCATTGCGATAGATGTAGGAAGGTTTGGCACAATAAAAAAGGGCAACAATCGATTTCAAAGAGAAATTGGTTCTAGAAGTCATTTCAAATCATAGTTCGATGCTAGAACTTAGGTTACTTACTTCTTTTCATTATTATTAGGTAAAAACTCATACTCACAGGAGATATGAAGCTATGCCACCTAGACCTAGAGGTTCAAATAGGTAGGAAGATTCTGCAATGAAATTCTGTAGGTGAAACGGCATGGTCTATACCATCCTCACTGAAATTACTTGTTAGCATACTGTGACCGTTACATTTTCTCAATTCACATAATACAGTATTTCATTCTAACTAACTAGTTGAGTTATAGAACCAAGAATGTCATGGACTTTGTCCCTTCCCCATTTCTCCCGGGTGATGACCTCGATTTAGGGTCATCAAATACCAGAGTGGTTATACTGGTTATACATCTAATGTCAGTCTAGACATAGTAAACGGGAAGATTATGGAAAATATAAGGTGGAATTCTTATAGATGGCAGGTGATCCTTTTGATAGCAACCTAAGTTTGAAAACAGGGTGCTGCAATTACAAGGTAGCCGATAAAAAACGAAGACCGGAATCAGAACGAAAGGAATTCTTTCAATTTTCTGAAAATCTAACCGTTCCCTTCAAAAGTATTTATTTAATGATTAAACTTTTCATATTTCAAAGATTAAGTAGAAGTAAAACAAGAAAAGACCGATCACGAGAAGTACAAAATGGAATAGGAATAGCTGAATGACGAAAACGTTCGTTCCTAGGTGACCAGATCGAAGTGGACGACGATTACAACCCGTATGTGTGGTGATGTGAAGGAGGAGAGGGGGGGGGGGGGGGGG